GCATAGAAAAAGCAAAAGTATTATTATGCATTTATTTCCATTTCTCCTTCATTAACTGCATTATTATTTATTCTCTCACAAAGAACAAAATGTCCACCACCTACAATTTCTGGGTTAAAAATAGTATAGAGTTGTCTGAATCATATTTCTTAAAAGCAATCCTAGGAGTAGGCCACATTGTACCTCCCTTCTTTTATCAAGAACTATGTACCTCCCTTCTTTTATCAAGAACTATAGCAAGAGTTTGATAAAAAAAAAGAAAAGAAAAAGAAATACCCATGCTTCTGCTTATCGGTAACTAATTTATTTTGTACTCAAGACCTAAGATGCTAAAAAAAAATTTTAGCAACATTTTGAGCCTAACCTAACCCTAACCAAACCTGACCACAATGACAAACTATCAGTGGCATGTGTGAAGTGGGATGTAGAAGATCATTATTCTATAAACTCTAAATATGGCTTACTTGTTTAATTCAACTTATTATTTGAAAAACAAAGAAGATAAATTAACTTCCCATGTCATGAAAATTTTAGTGATATGTTGGGGCATCTACAGGGAAGGGTTTTAAAAGTCAAGACGGTGGCTGTGTTTGCCAATTGAAACTCTGCTTTTATTTTTTACATCTGTTTGTACATGCAATGCATTTTTAAAAATGGTCAGGGTTTCGATTGCATGGTTGTACTCCCATTTTGATTTTCTGACCCCTGTGGATAGTCACGGTGACCTATTTTTATCTACTTTGCATCCTTAGCCCCTGCAGTCTTCAGAGCTTCCAAAAAGGCAAAATGTGCATTTCAATCAATTAAAAGAATTAAAAGACAAAAATAGACATTGATCAGAATTTGAGATGCAAAATAGCTTTTGGCTATATTTAGTAATGGACTCTGAGTGCATTCAGCTATAGTAATACATTGGGGGATGATGAGGCATTAGATAAGGTCTTATATCATATCCCATTATTAGCTCATTGAACACAAAACAGCCTAGGCTGTTTCTAGATAAGGCCTTTTCATGACATACTTAGTCTTTTTTCACAGAAGATCACAAGCACTGAATCTGGAGTGCTTTGTAGGCAAATGAGGAGCTTCATTGAGCTACAGAGGTGCCCTAAATAAAGTATGGAGTCATTTAAACTACCTCCATTTTTTACACCATACCAGACACTTCACAGATATTATCAAACATTTCCAAAAGAAGACAAAACCTCATTCCTTTCCTTTATGCTGGAGTCTGATTCTATATGATGGTGGTGACTTCATGCTTTCAGGTCAGTCTGGACTTCTGGTGATTACATGGACAAGGCCATATAGTTTTCATGGCAACATTTCTCAGAGCTGATTTTGAAATTGCCCAGAGAGAAAATGACTGGCCCTAAATCACCCAGTTGACTTCATGCCTAGGCAGGACTAGAACTCACAGTCTCCTGGTTTCTAGTCCAATGTCTTTAACCACTGCAACAAGCTGGTTCTCTTCTATATGATACTACGTAATAAACAACAGATATAGGGCTATATTTGTTTCCAGACCATAGCAGTGGATGCCTCACTGTCTACAAAGTAACTCTTGATTTGGCAAAAGGCAATGTGTTGTCATGAACATTAGTCTGATTATTGTAGTGCCACAGTCTGAACTCCCCATTTTTTAGATTCTCTTGTGAACAAAGAAGAACTGGTTGGGTTGGATCAATTTAATTTTTTTTTTTTTTAGTTATAGTACATTAAGAGACAGGGCATCATCCACACTATTGTTCTTTTAGGCAGTATGCTAGAAAATAAACTGCTGTGTGGCCTTAGTTGGAATACTCTACACACATGTAAAGAAATAGAGTAGATATACTCAAATAGATACTATAAGCTATATATGCATGGAGGAATTGACAAAAGAATGGCAAATTTGGAACTGAGATATCCCTATTTTTTAATGATTTTGAGAAAATTATTGCCTTTTCCAAGACACTAAATAAAATATTCAGAAGGATCTTTTCTCCTATTTGTTTTTTTTAAATATATTATAACAGAACAATACTTCCTTTTTCTTTCCAGTGCCATCAGTGAGCTTGCTTTCCCTCACTAAAACCTTCTTAGAAAAGGCCTAATTTGATCTTAAATATAAATGAAACTAAGTTTCAGATATAATTAAGATACACAGGAAACTTGTAGGTAAATATAAATTCCATCTACATTCAGATTAGATTATTTATCATCAGATATCAAATTATTGTGTATACATAGTTTATGGTCTGCTAGTATTTATTATCAGTTATCCTTGCATATACAGATATTTTTAATGCTCTTAAGATAGCAAAAGACTGAGTAACAGAATTTTAACTATTGCTTTGGCGGGAAAATAATCAGCTGCACTGCATGTAAGAAATTACTGTTAATTTCCAAAGCTTCTACATAGGAAATTGAGCTTGTTTGTTTCTTATAAAAATATTGTGAGGTAAAGTTGATGATTTGTAATCATTTCCTAATATCCTCCAAGGGCCTTTTCCTGGGACATCTACCAGAATTTTGCATTGAAAGAGTTTATTTTTTAAAAAATTATGATAATTACATACATTGTGGTATATACTTCTATGTATTTCTTAGTTAACATCCTTCTCTTCTATAAACTAGGGCTAATACGACTTACAAGTCTTGACCAAAGGCCAAATAGAATCTGACACATTCACAACGCAACAGTTGGGAAATGACAGCATAATTCAGTTTTGCTCATGTCTTTATTAATCATAAGTAAACAAAGTCCCATTGTTTGGCTTAAGAACTGTACCATAATGGAAGTCTGAGTAACAGAAATAAAAATCATAGTGATTCTGTAACACCTTATATTGTTCTGTCACCCTAGACAAGTTCAAATAATATGTAGTTCACCAGATATTTGGGACTCTAAAAATCCTCAATTATGACCAACTTCATCAAGCAATCGTAGAAATTATTATCCAAAAACATATACATCCCCAAATATAGCAGCTGCCACATGACTTTTTTTCCAAAGTTTTTCAAGATCTGCTTAAGCCCATGTCTTCCAGAACTGACAGCCACATAACCTACTCTAGATGACCTACAAGTCCCTTCCAACTCTGATTATCTGTAATCTGTTATCTTATCTATTTTGCATTGCATTGCTCATAGCTTGTTTGCCCCAGCTATTCATCCATGTGCACTGAGATCCTTGCCTAAATAAAATGATGTTCATATCACCTTTATTCTGACTTGAAACTGATAAATATTTGCCTAGATTAATTGTGTGGTTGAAGAAAGGTATAGGCCCAGATCTCCATGATCCAAGGAATTTATCCACTGGATCAACAGCTTACATCTGTTAGAACTTCTGTGTATCTGATAAACAATATTCTTTGTCTGCAATATGGACTATTCTTAAGTTCAATGATTTTTTTTTATTATTTCAAAACAAGGTATACCTTGTTGAACCAGATATGAGGCGTATCTAGCAGAATATTCTTCCTCCATTATAACCAATCATGAAACCCACATGTTCCACAGCAAAATACTGAGCCCATCATTCTAATTCTGAAAATATTATATAACAATCAAGAGTAATAATCGACAGACTTATTTTTCTTTTCTATATTTTTAAGATTATTACCCTTGAAGTGTTTAGAATAGTCTCTCCCAAAACATGGGCAGTCCCTTCTCTATTGGCCTTTGGCAAGGCCATGAAGACTTGACTTTTCCTCCAGGCTTTGGGACATCTAGGACATTAGAATGGGATCTGTGGCATGGGGATGGGTGTCTTGTAGTTTTGGGGTTTTTATTGAGCCTCAATGCTATTTAATTGTTTTTATTTGTTTGTTTCTTTATTTTGTTTTAATGTAATTCTGCTTTGGTTTGTTGCCTGAAGGCTCTTGGATAGACAGGTATCCATATAAATTGGATAAATAAATAAATAAATACATTTTTAAAATTATTGGAAAGAAACAAATAAACATTTCAAGGTTCAAAATAATAAAAATTATCATCACAATATTTCTATCAAACCCAATGCTTCTAAGAACTGATTCACATCACACCACTTTGCAATCAGAAATGCAATTTTATGAATTGTTAATCTTTTCTAACATGTTTATCTCTCAATCACTGCATCTCCAAATTACTTAGTAGAATTCCTCTATGTAAGAAAAGACATTATGACTTATTGTAATGTATTAAAGAGAGAACTTTTAATGTTTTATCAGGAGAGTGACATTATTGAGATGAATTAAGCAAAATTTGTTTAATTTGCTCTTTTCACCTTTGTGTGCATGCCTACAGTCCACGTAGTATGTTTTCTACATATTTTGGGGTTGAGAACTGAATAGACAGATACACTGCAGTGATTTTCTAACCACTTAAAACGCAGATTAAATGAATTTGAGACATATTTATGACCTTACATTGTCATCCCCAGTAATAATAATACTAAAGAATAGGATAACGTGTACAGGTTAGACAGCAAATTGTATTAAAATAATGGCTCAGTAAGAAGTAAATCAATGATACTGACTTTTGAGGATCCCATTCAAAATCTAAGCTTTGACTTGCTTGACAATAAACTAATAGAGGTGGAGGTACAGCAATATAGGCATAAAATATCTCCCTGCAACACTTTGTCAAAAGAATTCATTGCAGCAGGTTACATTCATGTCAGATGAACAACTGGGATTGCAGTTTTAAAGCTGATTTTAAAATACACAAATGCATTGTAATTGTTCTAATAAGCAGACTTCCCCCTCTCTGTTTTTTTTGGATAAAAGGATGAACAGACTCTGCCATTTTTCAGGCTTGAGACACAATCCATTTCTATTATATGCTGGTCTGCTCCGCTTTTAAAAACAGACAGGTGCACACAGCAAAAGTCAACCCCTTTCAAGGGAACAATGGGTTTTTTTCTATGCTTCTGAGAGGCAATAGAAGAGAATAGATGGGAAGCCTATCTTGCCTATTCTCTCTCTCTTTTTTCTCATTTTGCTTTAGATTTTGTTTTGTTTTCCATTTACCTTTTCTGGAGCTGGGAACTGTAAATGATTGACTTCCAAGGGTGTTATCAAAGGAACCGTCTGAAAACCATCCTCATTGGACGGCTGCTGCTTGTTCTTTTCATTCAAATTGCTTCCCAGCTTCACCATCCTTAGATCTCACTTTCCAGACCTAAAACATATTGATGTGATCAGTATTAAAGGAGTAAAAAAGGAGGATGGAACAGAAAGTAGGGGAAATTAAGGGCAGAATATGTCAGCTTGCCATATTTCAATCACCCTGCAGGTCACATGGTTCCCACTTGCATATCTCTGTTAAATTGAATGAGGGGGAGAGGGAGGGGGAAGCATTTTACCTTTATTTCTTGCTTTAAAGAATGTATCATCAGGTCTAAACCACCCACAAGAGAGTTCAGCTAAGCTTCTGTTGGTTTAGCTCCAAACAAGGATTGCTTTATATCAAGATCTTGTTGTAGGAGTGAATCTAGCTTGGCTCCTTTGTTGCTAACAGAAAATATCTGGCCCAGGTTTTTTTCTGTATATTACATCTATTTTTAAAAAAAAATCATAGCAACTTCACAAAACATTTCAAAAGTGATCCTTAATAACAATCATTCTTTAACAACCCCCTCTTCTCTGGCGACTGACATATTCCAGAATGAATTATAATCTCTGAACAAATTAACAAATGAAACACAGTGTGAAGGATACTGAGAGCCCCTTTGGTTCCCCCTCCTTCTTCTTAGCCCTGATGCATCTGCGCCAGTAATCAGGGGCGGGTCGCAAATACATGCCTCAGAATCAGACGATCGAGGGAGAGAAATCCTCCCTCCGCCCCCCACCCCCATCGTCCTCCCACTATCTACTTACTGCAGGGCACACCTCGCTCTTGGAAGAAGGTTCGCGACGGATTGCGCCAAAAAAAAAGCTGGTTTTTAAACCCCCCGGTGGTGCTGAATGGACAGCGCCTCGTTCCTCAGCCGGCTGGTTCCAAACGTTACTGAAAGAGGATCAAGGAGTGAGCGCAGAGACAGCCGCTCGAATCTGCGGCAGGCAAACACTCCCAAACTGGGGCGGCGGCTTCCGTGCGGGATCTGGCACCACCTGCTGTCGCCCAGGGCGGCCACAAGCGCTAGCAAAGAGAAAAAGAGACGGTGCTTATCGACAACGCCACCTACAGTCTGCACAGAGCACAGGCAGGCGACGTTCCAGCTCAGCCTGGCCTGACTGTTTCCTGCAGCCTGCTAAGAGTTTTAAGTCTTCACCAAGTCCGCCTCCCAATCTGCTGTGATGTCGTTGACAGACAGGTGACAATTGCAGGAATTAGAGTAGATGTAGCTACAGCAGGCAGAGATGTATTTGCCAAGAAATCCTAAGCAGGGTTTTTTTTAAAGGCTCACTCTTCAATTCTTGAGAGGAAAAAAAAGCATCCTCTGGAAGCTGAGGACTGTTAAAACAGTAGGGCTCTAAGAATATGCATCCGAATATGGAAAAATGGTAAATTAGTATAATACATTTCTAAACAGCAATGCACCTATTGAACTCAAGTTACTCTCAAGCAATATACATGCTTAAGGCCAGACCATAACACGTGAAGATTAACTTGCCTTTAAAATAAGAAAAGGCTTCCTTTCAGCCCATATGTAAAGTGGAATGGATATAATACTGTCATGGGTTATATTTCCTCTGGTATAATATTCATTCTAGCTATCCATGTATCTTGCTGAGTTGCATTTCTCCTTAATTCCAGCTTGATCACTGATCGGTGCTCACTGTTAAATTTCAACTCTATTTCCTTGAGGGAAATATTTGGCAAAGGAAACAAGTTTCATGTCCAACTTTTGGTGGGAAACAATCTCCTGCCCTTCCATTTTAGCAGCACAGAATTCCAGAGCACTGACGCACCAGTACTATTTTAGATACCTTTTTTTTCCCTTTAGTATTATGCTTTTTATTGGTATTGTTAAGAATTGTCTCAGAGGAAGATAGAATATGGGAAATAAATACTTCGCATATTAGAATATGTGTGTGTGTGTGTGTATTAATATATATATATATATATACATTTATATATGTATATATGTATAATATATCAAATAGTTGTTGCTCTGGGTGATACCAAAATTGAATAATGATAGTGATAATGACAATAATAATAATGATGATGATGATAATGATGATGGGGTAGGGAGGAAGAATTAAGGTTATAACAGTACCATACACTCACAAATGATAATACTATATTGCTCAACTTTTCATTGGAAGAGGGGAGAGGTGAGGTGAGGAAAGGGAAGGGGAGGAGAGGAGAAAGAGTCAATTAAGTGCAGAGAGTGAATAATCCATGCACAGACACATAATAACTCTCAAATTGATCCCAAAGAAGAGCTAAAATTCTCAAATCCTTTATTCCAATCAATAGCCAAAGCTAGGATGAATAATCCATGTACAATATGAACACCATATGCAGGAGCACAGCTGAAAATCCAGTGATTTCTATTTTTCATGTCTCAAGTCTTTTGTGTTCATTTGGTAATTAATTAGAAACCTAGCTGGAAACAAAACGATGAGAGAATGAGCAAGAGAAGAAGTGGCAGATAAATATTGCTCCTTCACTATGATATTAACTGAATATTAATAAGATGTAGTGATAACAAAACTAAATTAAATGTAATTAATTTTGATTAATTGCCATGAGGTTAAATTGCCATTAAATCAAATATGATAGTTAAGTTCATCATGACAATTAAAAAGAAACTATCTGACCTGTGTTTTTATTTTGCTGCTCAGAACCAGTTTTGGAGAAAACATAAAATTCTGTTTCTCTGTATTTCTAGAAATAAAAACTTGTGTGGAAATTTGAGAAGAAAAACTTGTGCTATCTCCTAAAAGCTGTGGAAGCCCTCATGGCTGTTTTTGAAAGTTCAAAAGGCTGATTTTAAGGTTGAAATGCCTTTGCCTTACAACTTGCCAAATCAATTATTTATACATTTATATGAAGTAACAATAATGAGTTTATATAAACTTGGTATTTTATGTTTGAAGCTATCAGCTTGAGAGAGAGAGAGAGGGCGGGGAAGAGGGAAACAAGTTAAATCTCACATGAACACCATTAAAAAAAGCAAACAGAAACGTAACTTGGAAGGAACAAATAAAAGAGAGATTTAGAGATTATATTGCATATTAAATATGAACAGACGTCCATCCAGAACCAAAGTATGCAATAGAAGATCATGGAAGTACTGAGTGTTGCTTACTGCCAGAGTACCTTGTATCCTAATTTTATTTTGTAATTAAGAGTCTCATAGAATGAGATTGTTTTTGTTTTCTCCTACTATCAACTGACCAACTACCTTATCATCCCCAAGCCTGAAATTGTGGGTTGGGAGAGAATGGCCAGCCCAAAGTCTTTTTTAATTTTTATTTTAATGGCCCAAAGTCTATTTTATTTTAAAAGAATGGCCGACCAGCTTTCAGGTCTAAAACAGGACTAGAACTCTCTGTCTCCTGATTTCTAACCTGGTGCCTTGATCACTAGATTAAATGGCTCTCAGCATGGGAAATATATCCTTTTCAATTTAAGCAAACCAAGAAGTTATTACTTTTTACAATTATCTTTGCTGAGAAGCACGACTACAATGCCCATAAACAAATTGCCAGATTAGTCCAATACCAGCACTGTTCATATCTATATTACTATGTTAATATAACCAGCTCTTTAGTTTTATTAGTATGTCTGAGTTATGGATAACCATTTTCTCTCTTCGTGTAAATGTATTTAAGACTCCTAATAAATTTTTCTTATTATTATTCTGCATGTTACTCAGAATAAAACTTTTATTAAATAAATCAGATCTGCAGTTAAAAATTGAAATAGCTATACAAGCTATAAAGATAGTCCTTGACTTACAACAAGTTCATTTAGTGACTGTTTGAAGTGACAGCACCACTGGGAAAAAAGTGAGTTATGACCGTTTTTCACACTTATGATCATTGCAGCATTCCCATGGTCATGTGATCAAAATCCGGACTCTTGGCAACTGACTCATATTTAGGAGGGTTGCAGTGTCCCAGGATTATGCTATCACCTTTTGGACCTGCTGATCAGTAAAGTCAATGGGGAAGACAGATTCACTTAACAATCGTGTAACTAACTTAATAACTGCAGTGATTTACTCAAGAACTGTGGCAGGAAAGCTCTTAGAATGGGACAAAATTCACTTAACAAAATGACTCACTTAGCAACAGAAATTCTGGGCTCAATGGTGGACATAAGTTGAGGACTACTTGTATATGCATTTTCTAGCAGTCGTATTTTGCAATATTTTAAGAAAAAAAAATTTAAAGTGTTCTCTCTCTTGAAAAACACTTGAGAATGCATCTATACATTGCAGTGGTATTTACCTGCACCAAAATGTTCTAATTGAGTATGTACAGTGTACATATTAATAAGGAAATCAATTCCATAGAGCTAGCCTAGAAGTTTTATTTGTTCAAGGTTGAACCATTCTGCGCATGCATTTAAGCAGTTTTGAAAGTCAGGCTATGACCAAACAATAATTAATGAACAGATTGTATAAGCCTAACAGAAAGGAGATTATTTATAGGAAACAAACTATAGCAATAGGCAAAGTCTAGCATCTAGCTAACTACAGCCTATCAAGAGGAGGATCGGATGGAGAAAGGCTGCACAAAAGGTGACTGAAGCACATGAAAACCAAATTCCACCATGCACAGATGCTCAGGTAGAATTCCCTGAATTGAACCACCACCCTTCAAAAGAGATGCACAATTAAAGACACAGGTTGCTGATTTTAAACTCAAAGAAATGTTTAAACAACAATCATTTTATTGCAGTGGAATACAAATCAGATTAGATCGCCCAATTGATACATTGCTGACAGATCCACTTACTAAATTTTCCCCAGAGATCAACAGAGAAATCTTCAAAAATTACCAAGTGGGAGCTGTAGATTGGCAGACGTAGGGATGTTGGAGAGTCAAATCCAGTGACACTGACTCTTCAACACCTCATGGCCCCAAAACGGCAGTAAGTATAGATAGTTAAGGATTATCTCTGGAACCTATTGTTGTCTATCAATCCATCTGTTCTTTGTTCAAAATATTGTTCATCTGAGGTTACTTCCTCCTGC